TTCACATTATTTATACACACATATACAAAGTATATTTATAACAAAAAAAAAAATGGTATGCAAAAATGCTGTAGGTATATTCTTGACTACTTATTACTTTTTGATCTCTATATATATATATATGCCTAGCTCTATATTATACGTAGATGTATTTATCTAATATTTGTGTATGCATCCATAGTGTTGCCAGTTAATTCAAAAATTCCCATATTTTCCCTTTTCAAACTCGATTTTTTCCCATATAATTTCCCTTTAAGGAAATTTTTTTATTTATACCCATATATATTATACCCCATAGCATTGTACTAAAAATAAAATATCAACTTTATCTTTTTTTCATTTGCATAACTTAAAAATTAAGGCTTAAATCGGTTTAAGAGCTTCAAAATAAATAAATAGGGCTTTTTATATTTGATTAAATGTAAAATGCATTTGGTCAAAAATAAAAAAAGAAATTGAAATAAAAAAAAATATAATCTTAACGAAAAGTTTTCAATGAAATTTCCTATGATTTTTTGCCTTTTTCTCTTTTTCCCTATGAAGTCTTCAAGATTCCTTCAAAATGGGAAATTTCCCATGATTTTTTGCCGTTTTCTCTTTTTCCCATGAAGTCTTCAAGATTCCCTCAAAATGGAAATTTTTCATAATTTTTTGCCTTTTCGCTTTTTCCCTGTGAAGTCTTCAAGATTCCCTCAAAATGGGAAATTTTATATGATTTGGCAACACTGCGCATTCATATAATAAAGTGTATGTTAAATTGTAATCAACTTATTTTTTATTTTTGCATTTTTAACTACTATTATACTTGTTTTACTTATACTATTATTTTTTATTATTTTCTACCTTGTTTTTCTATTTTATATTATTTAATTTATTGTTTTGTTACCCTTTAACATAGAATTAAAAGAAATAATAATAATAAAATAATAAAAAACAAAAATGTTATTTTATTTTCATAACACATGTTTTTGTCGGTCGGTCGGTCGGTGTCTATAGGCTCATTAAAAAAAATTTACAATTTCTCTATTATTTTTTTTTATAGTTATTATTTTTTTCTCCTCTATATACAATATATTTACGAGTGTTTTTCGCTTAACCTTTTTCTTCGTGTTATTTTTGCGGTATCCTCTACACAATTTTTTTTTTTTTATAGAATGCCTATATGTATGTTTATATTATAGTTTGTTGCGCGCTTAAAAAGCACACATTCTCATATTATGTGTATATAAGTATGTATATGAGAGTAAAGTGCACGTGAATATTATTTAGAAAATTAATTCATTACCAAACAAGAATATCAATAAATCAATAAAATTTTTTTTTCTACTCTTTTCTATTTGCATATTATTCGCTTTTGCTAAAATTCACCACCAATAATGCACATTTATATACAGAAATATTTTACATGTAGTATAATTTTAATATTTCAAATAATTTAACACTATATATTATGTTGTATGTATTCAATTTATGCTTGTATGTACTTAAAATAATTATGCAAATGAAAATATAATTATTTGTTAGTTTATTATGGTGTTTGACATATTATTATTATTATTACATAATTATATAAAATAAATAGATAATAATTTGTAAGTCGTGACGGAATTTATCTAATTATAAGAAAAAATATTTATTAAATTCTGGGAGGTGTTTCAAGCACAAACAGTAAATATCTAATTTGAACAATATTTAAAATATTGAATAAAATAATTTGGTCGGCATAGATCTAGTAGTTGAATCAAAAAATTAGTACATAAGAACAACCTGGTCGCGTACTTACATCCCCTCTTAAATTAACGTCTCACAAAATTCGTAAAATTTGAGTTTTCTGTACTTCTTATTTCCTTCCCAAACAGCAAGATTTTCCAAATTTCTATAAATATCACATCTTTAAAATAATAATTTCTTTTCTTAACCCATACAATTAACTCTTGAATGTTAATCAATGGTCAAACAAATTGCATTAACGCCTCTTCAATTTTTTTTTTGTCATCCTTAAAGTATGCAAAAAAAAAATTGATATATTTTGATATATTGTAATTTTAAGTAATGCACTAATAATTATTTTTAAAATGAATATTTTCACTTGTTAAAGGAAAAAATGCTTCTTATAAAACCATTCATCTGACCCAGCTTTGTTTGAATAGTAATTTGATTATACTATTACAGAATTAATAAATTATTGCCTAAGAATAGATTTTAAATTGACCATGATCTTTTTGATGTCAAAAAATATTATACATATTCATGCCAGAATTTATAATTTACTCTTAAGTTTATTTTGACCGAAAGTCAGTCCTCATTATCTATACAATGATCTGCCAAACCATCAGTTCTACAGTCATGTTGTTCACTAAACATGAACTTCAAAAATCAAAACTATTGTAGTTCTCATGACAATAATATAATTAAGTAAGTAATAAAAGAGTAGTAATACCAGCGCTAGTTTAAAATTACTATTAATTAATACGGATAAAACAATTCACAATTGGTTTAAATTATTTGTTAGTTAATATACACATAACACACCACAACGCAATATAAGAACAAAATTCAAGTATTATAGCTAAAAGACACAATGATTTCATGTATACTGCCATCTCGTGCTTTAACATCCTTAAATTTTAATACCATCATCCGCAACTAAACATTTAGTTATTAACACTTAAAATTCCTGACAGCAAAAAACCAAAATATTTAAACTATATTAAAAAAAAAAATTTTTTTTCAATAAATAACAAAATTCTCTATAATTATTACGTTCATTCAAAAAACAAAAAATACCCGATATACAAAGCATTTAAGTATTAAGTTCTATTTAATAGAGCAATTGACAAAATATTGCCTTCAGAAATTTTTATATTATTCATATTTTTCATATTTTTTTAAATTTATATTTTCCTCTATACCGTAAATTATGTGACTAATCTATATGGAAATTATTTCAAATATTTTATAATTTTAACGCTTATTCTCTAACATAAAACTAACCACTTGATTTTTCAATAAAAATATTTTGTAACAAATTACGTACGTCTATATATTACACATTTTTATAAAAAATATTGTGTTACACCGCAGGCAATTTTAAAAATGTAATTGTCACCCTTGCAAAAATATTAATAGAGAAAAGAAAAACAAGAAAAAAGAAAAATTTCAAATAAAATACACAATATTTTGTTGATCCTGCTTTTTTTTCCAAAGCGTAAATATAAAAACCTTAAGGATATAAGACCTCATATATATTTTATAGAAATTTTTTTTTTCATATTGTGTTAATTGCTATACCAACAGTAAAAAGAGTTGTCATAATAGTTCATATAATAAATTTTCATCACAAAATTTCATGTATCCTTTTTAATTTTTACATAAATTTTTATTATATTTAATAATTGCTATATATGTATATTATTTTCTCAGCTCTCTATATAATTACGAGTATTTGTTAACAAAAAAAAAAAGAAGAAAAAAAAATGACCCTCATGAATTTTCCTAACTCTTAAATATTTTATAATTTTTACTTTTATTCAAATAAAAAGAGAAGAGTTGAAAAAATTTTTATAGAGAAAAATTTTGTTCATACGAAAACGACAGGGATAAATGACATATTTTTGATAACCCAATTAGTTCAGTCAACTATAGGGTATGATTAAGAAAACTTTTCAATTTTATTAGTTAAATAATAATTTAGGCCAACGGGCGGAATTAAAATCTTACAAATGTCAAACATAAAGTTGCTGGCATTTTAGAACTAATTTAGTAGAGCTAACAATAAGCGCTATATTAATATTCGCAAACTGTGAAGACAAAGTCAATTTAAATACATCTTCTGTAAAAATTGGAAATTATTACCTTCAGAAGAAGAGAATTTTTCAAGTGGTTCACTCTCGTATTGTTTTAATTTGTAGTATTACGGGAGATGGAGAGGGTATTATAAATACTCTTGTTTCATTAATTGAAATTTAATAATGCTTTAAACACCACATTTTACCGTTATTATTTCCAGCATTGTACGATATTTCTGTTATACAAGCGGTATAATAAACGAAACGGCAATTTTAAATGTCTATTCAAAATGACTGTACAAAATGTATAGCAATCTATATCACATAGATTACAATATAACAAAATATAAACTGTTGAATTAGAAAATTTATTAAAAAAGAAACAAGATGTACAAAAAGGATACGCAAAAGGATAAATTGTTTATAAGATTGTTTTAACAGTTATTTCATTGTGACATTTTAAGTATTTCTTTTGTAATATTCTTATTCATCTACAAAACTATGGTGACATACAAATAATATCACCATCAAATTAAATACCCAGAATATTTTAGAGGAAACCACAAAATAAAAGGGAGTTTAACAAAAAAAAAAAAGGCTAAAATGATAAAGGGTTTTAATGGGTTTCTACAATATAACAATATCGAATTGAACGAGAACAAAATAACATGAGAAAACAAAGTAATTTAATACCTAATAATTAGCTGTTAGAAAAAGGATTTATTATTTTTACTTGTATAATCCTTTATTTGTTGTTCCTACAAATTGTATTCAATCATTATTATTATAAAAGAATGTCATAAAACTTTTACTTAAGTGTTTAATATTTAAAGAGCGAAAAAAGAAGGCCACTATTGAAAGGAATAATTTTTGCCATATTAAGATTTAATAAGATATTTTTTAAGGACGTTAACATTGCTTTTATATTATTAATTGGTATTTATTAAAACAATTACAATAATAATCGGATTTTAATGTTGAAATCTAGAAAATTGGTATTTAAACATCTTATTAATAAGTTTAAACATTTTTTGCCATTAGTCTCAACTCAATCCTTTCAAAAACATTCAAAAAATCTTTTGAAGTTCTTCGGTGCATTATGTAAAATAAAAATCAATTACGAGTATAAATAGATTAAGAAGAAATTTAAAAAAAAATCCATCTTGAACAAAATATATTCTAATCATCATAATCCTTCTATTGTTGTTACAGGCAAGCCCTAATGGCACAACGTGGTGATTCAGATAAACTGAATCCATCACATATAAGTAGTTCAAGGGGTCCATCAATGTTAGGTCATCATTCATCACGTCATCATGATGATGATGATGATAAATTATTAGATGTTGTTGGTCCACCACAAAGCCCATTGTTGCCTTTAAGTCATTCATTACAACAAATGCATGCGCATCCACATTCGGGTAAGTAAATAATCTAAAAAGAAGCAAATGTAAATAAATCCAAAATAAAAACCAATTTATATATATTTTAATAATACCATAACAACTACCCTTTTTTTTATTTTCTTGAATCTAGGTTTAGCAGCATGGTTTAATCATTTAGCGGGCGGTATGGAAGCACATGTAGCTAATGAAGAAGCGATAAGACGTCGTTTACAACAACAAGATGAAAATGAACGTGATGGTAGTGATTCAAGTTGTTCTGAAAGTGTTGCTGGCAGCACCGGTGGAGCATTTCGACCAACATCAAGTGGTAGTCCAAAAGATGGACCAAATTCAGCTGGTACATCATCATATCCGGCACCAAATATATCAGTGGGTCCACCAATACATCCACCACCACATTTATTGCCTTATTTATATCCTCATGGTTTATATCCATCACCGCATCATTTATCATTATTACATAATCCAGCTGCAGCAGCAGCAATGAATCCCGGTTTAAATCCAGGTTTATTTTTAAATGCTCAATTAGCTTTAGCTGCTCAACATCCAGCATTATTTGGACATTACTCGGGACATTCACCGGCAGCAGCAGCTGTTGCTGCATCACCATTATCTGGTTTAAAAAATCATCGTTTTTCACCATATAATTTACCGGGTAGTTTAGGTTCAGCATTTGATGCTGTTACACCAGGTGCTCGCAGTGGTCTCGGTATTGTTAATAATTTAGATCGTAATAATAGTATAAGTGGTAATGATTTAAATCGTAATACATCATCAGATGATAATATTATAAGTGGAGGTGGCGGCAATACCGGTTGTCTTAGTGGTATTACATCATTAATATCACATCATTCAGTTGATAATGGTCAACGTAGTTTAAGTTCTAGTCCAACAAATATACGTGCCTCATCAAATTCCCCACCAAATAATAGATCATCATATTTAAATTTAACATCATCACCACCATTGTCAATTACAAATAATAATAATAATAATAATTTAACAACAAATAATAATAATAATAATAATGGTAATTTAAAACATCATCAACATCATCAATCATCAAGACAATCAACAACACCAAATTCACCATCAAATTTAAAAAGTATTGAAAAAATGGTTAATGGACTTGATGTACAACATAATGGTAATAGTAATAGTGGTCCAATTATTGTTGATGATATTATACATAAAAATTTAATAAAAACAAATGATGATGATCAGTGACAATCAATACATACAATTGATGATAGTAGTAACAGTAATAACAGCAATAGTTATAATAGTAATGATAATATTAGTAATATAACAGATGAAAATATTATAAATTTAGATAATTTGTGACAAATTAAAGAAAAATAATATTGTATGAAATTTTAAATAGAAATTAAAAAAAAAAAAACAAAAAAAAAAATTTTTAAAAATTAAAAAAAAATTATTAAATTTTTTTTTTTTTTGTATTTCTTTTATTTTCATCTGTTTCAGTTTTTCTCATTTTGTGATTTAAACAATTATTTAATGTTTTTTTTTTAAATTAAATTTAAAATTATTATTATATTAATTAATATTCATTCTTGATATATTTAAATAATTTCTGTTAAATGATAACTAAAAGTGAAATCCTCGCTCAATATCCAAAAAAAAAAAAAATGTACTACTTATGTATAGGTCGAGTAATTATTTGATTATAAGAAAATTATAAAATTCTGGCAATATTATGAATAAAAATGACAAAGAATAGGCATGCAATATTAAAATAATTTGACATACACTCAGAAAAATTTAAATCACATATTTGCAATATAACATTCTGAAATGTTCAGAATTCTACGTTATTATTTTAATATTATCAATTTAAATGAGAGTTGTATACGTAAAAATTTTTAAATAATTTTAATAATATTTTTCGTATTTAATAAATTTATCTGATAAATCTATTAAAAATTGTCTATTTAATAATTTTCTGAACAAATTTTTTTCTCAATATTAAAAATTTGTACTATTTTAACGAAAATTCTTGTTTCAAACTAAATTTAGAAGCGCATTGCTTTTCTTCATAATATTTCAGTTCCATACATTATTAGTTTGCATGTTTTTTTCTAAATATTTCTTTTAGTTTTGAAAAATAAATAGAGTTTGTCATTTTTATTCATATACCAAAAGTAATAAGCAAATATTTATTTCAAGTTCCCAAAACCTTTATTAATATTATAGCAATTAAAACATTTTTTTTTTTTAAATTAAAACTGGATATTCAAAATAATAATTGTAAATATTTTGTAAAACAAGAATTGTAATCATAATTTATGAAAATATTAAAAAAAAACAATTATATAAAAATGTATAGGAATTTATAAAATTATATTTACTAAATTAAATAATTATAAAAAAAAAAAAACAAAAATTTAATTGTTTATCACACATATTTTTTCTCAGTGTACTAATATTTGCTATTCTCAATGTACTAAGATTTTAAAATTACACTGAAGTAAATTATTATTCAATTTAATTTTAAAACTGTAACCAATATTAAATACACTGACAAAAAAAAAATTGTGTTAAATAACAATATTTCCTTTTAGTTATTAAAATTATTTTCAATCAATTTAATGTTATTAGCTATTTTAAAAATGTATTTGTTTAATATTATTTTTTAAACAATTACTTTTTATTTAAATAAAAAAATAAAAGAAAACTAAATAATTTTTTTTTTTTTATTTTGTCAATCTTATGTTCCAAAAACTAGTTTTATATTAATTAAAATTATATTATATACGTATAAATATTATATAATATAAATATAGTATAAATAATCATTATAAATTAATTAAAATTAATTAAAAAAAAATAAATAAATTTGAATTTATAAACTACATAGATTCCTTTTAATTTCAATTTAAAATATCAATGTGTACATTTTAAAATTAAAGAAAAAAAAATAATATTTAATAATAATTTACACTCAATCTTTAATATAAATTTATATAATACATTCTTATATATATATAAATATAAGATTTAATTATTTTATATAAAATATAAAAGAAAACAAAAAAAAAATGTAGAAGAAAAATTAAGAAAAAAGTATTTTAAAATGAACTTTTTTTTTTTTTTAAATTTAATATAATAAAATTAAATTAAAACAAAAGAAAACTTTATTAATTAACTAATTAATTATACTATATACATATATACAGTGATTTAATAAAATATTTATATTTATAATTAATATAATATAATTAAAAAATAAAAAAAAATTTTTATCAATTTGCAAAAATATTATTGTAAAATAATTAAAAACAAATTTTATATATAATTACTTTAGTATAATAAATATATATATATTATGTATATATAATATATAGAGTATGTTTCTATATATTATACAATGTATATAATAGAATATATATGATTTACATTAAAAATCAATATCAATATTCTTAAAAAAATTACAATTTTTCTTTTTAGTTTTTTTTTTTTTTTGGTTTTATTCACAAAATAATTTCAAATTTTCTAATAATTCAATTTTTTTGTTTAAACTTTAACCCTATACAGCATCAGAAATACATTAATACTATATTATGTAGCACACATAATTCAAATATTAACACTTTTGATTAAATTTTAATAGAATTATTAATGGCAAAAGTAATTATTAAATTTCAAATTACAAAATTTGAAATCAAATCTAAAATTTGAAATTAAATCTATTTTCTTATACTATTTAAAAATTTATTTGACAGTAAATCTGACCTAATGTATTGTCAAAATTTTATTTGACTTATTTTTTTACAATTTTTAATGGAAAAATAATCAAGAAATTGTTAAATATTTATAATTTTCACATTTTTCTTGTGTATAATCATAAAACACATTATTTAAATTAAAAATAATTTTACATTTAAAATAATTAGTAAATTGTAATTGACATTTTCATTATCAACAACAAGTTGTCAACCAATTGTCAACAAATTGTCAAACTGATACAATTAAGTAAACAATTGAATTTGTGGAAAAAGTAAAAAAAAAAACCTTCTTAAGTTAAAATAAATTATTAATTTTCTTTCAATTTCTCTCAAAGATTATTGATTTGTAAATATTATATATATATATTTGTACATACATATATATATAAAAATATATAGAATTTTAAAAATATAAAAAAAAAATTTATAAGATACTAGATCCTTTTCTTTTTTTTTTTTATAGATAAGTTAATTGATTAATTAGTTAATTAATTTGAAAATGAAAAAAAAAATTAAATAAAAAAAAAACGTTGTATTATTATTAAAATATTATTTAAAATATTGTAAAGCACTTTATAAATATTATATAAACTTATTATACATATATACATTTAATATAAAATAAAAGATATTTTGTAAATATAAAAAATTAAAATTTGTATAAAATTTAATTATTTAAAAACAATACGCGATTTGAACAAAAAAGAAAAGGATAAGAAAGGAAAAATTATGAAAATAATTAAATTATCAATTTAAATTGACAATTGATCTATAAATTAAAAAATAATTTCCAGTCTCTTAGTTTTTCTCATTTTTTCTTACATACGTATGTGTGGGTAAATAATTAAATTAAAATTTATACAAATAAAAACAAGAAAAAGTAAACATTTCTTTTTTTCTTTCTTCAAATATTTTTAAAAATGTTGTGAACAAAAATCTATAAAATAAGTTTCTATCTTACATTTATTCTATACTATTTTCTTAAACATAATTAACAAACATATATACTAACGAATAGTAACTGTTATACTAACTGTTATACTAATCTGTTATAATAGTATTTGAAAAGGGTTTTTATTAATTTTAAGGGTTAATTCAAATTTTCCAAAATTGTTTAAATATTTCCAAAATTTTCAATTGTATTCGTTCCATATGCAATGAATCAATAGCGTACATTTGAAATAATTGAATGCGATTCCTAAAAATTTAAAACAAAATTAATTAATTTTAATTCCATATTTTAATTTTATTTAATATAAATTCGAATAAATTTTCAACTTTACTTATTACTACCTTTATTAATTTAATATAAAATTTCTCGTGCATGGAAAATTGGTAAAACCAGCAACACGGCTACCATCTAGCTAGATGCTCACTGTTATAGAGGATTATTCATTTTTTTCCAATTATAACAATATTTGTTGTTATTTGCATGTTATCTTTATTAAATTAGCTCAAATTTTCATATACGCCTGGAAAGTACCCCTATGGCTATTGACATGATCTACCAGTATCAACTGGATCCTTTATTGTACATGATTGTCCAAAATTCTTCAATTATAATTTTATTGTGTCTTCATTTACTTCTTCTCATTACCTGACATTTGCTCTTTTTATCTAAAACAAAAAAAAAATATTAAAATACAAATTAATTAATTAATAAATTAAAATACAAAAAAAAAAATAATTTTTATTATAAATCCTTATATTCTTAAATCCTTCATTCTCAAATCTTTTCTTAAATTTGATCTAATTTCTTATACAATCACAACATTTTTATTAATATCAACAACTCTATACAATATTGTAAATTAAAAAAAAAAAATTAAATAAAAAATTAAAAAAAAAAATTATTTAAAAAATTGCAAATTTAAAAAATACAAAAAAAAAATACAAGATTCACATAACTGAGTGAGTGATATATTAATTATAAATAAAACAATTTTAAGTGAGCAACAATGTTGCACGTGTGCAAAAATATATAAATATAATTATAAATTTAAATTAATCTTTAACAAAAATAAGAAAATTATAATTAAAAAAAAATAAAAATACAAAAAAAAAAAAACAAAAACAATATATGTAAAAAAAAAACAGTAAAAAAAAAATAATAAGTTATTATTAAAGAAAAACAAAATTACAAAAAAAAAAAAATAAAAAAAAAATATAGTTGCTAAAAGTAATCTGAAAATAAACACAAATTAAATATAAAAAAAAAATGCAATTGTTTTTTAATTCCATTTTCCGAACTCTTTGAAAATTAATTTGAAAATTTCGAAAAGCTTGTATGAAGAGAACCATAGCCAAAATTCGTTTAAACACTAATCTTGTCAAATTAAGACAGCAGTAGTTGTACTAACTATTTCTGCTTATAGAGGAGTAGAAAGTGAGTACAACTATTTATAATCTAGTACAAGGTGAAATTTTTAACAAATTCGTCGAATTGGTGTTAATTATTATACTTCTCTCCTAACTTGTTCATAAATGTTTTACGCACGATTACAAAATTAAAACTGAGTAACAGAACATTAAACAGTATACGAAGGTACAGAGAATTTGAAAGTGCGAGAGGGAAATATCAGTGACTAGTGAG